TATATTGTTGTTTATTGTTTGTCAAAAAATGTCCCATCTCTTTATAGTGGATTTCTTCTTCTTCATTTGCTCTAACTCTTTAAACCCTTACACCATGCTTTGAGTCACATCTACTCTGATTCAGTTCCCAAAATGCTTCAAATATGTGTTCGTCTTTCTATGTGAAGAACTCTTCGATTCCGCTGTTATCACAGTACTTGTCTCTTGGCTAAGCCGTGAAATTTTCCCATCCAAACGTCTTTCGTCAAAGACTGAGAGAAATATAAATATATATGATTTGGAGGCAAATTCATATTGAAATTAAATAAATTCTTTAAGATTTACCAGCAGTGGTAAAAGAAAAGATTATGTAGGGTTGTTGATTGTTCTAACAGTGAAAACAAATACTTTCACATTAGAAAGAAGATATCATCAATGTAGAAGTCACCTTAAGCTAAAACCTTTTATTATGGTGCTTGTACTCATGTAACATATAACTTTAGTAATTCAATTTAGAGGCTTTATTTGTCTATTATTCGTCTTGCATATACTGTGTTTCGTGTCTTTACTATGCCTCAAAAATAAGAACCAACAAAAAATTTGAAAAACAGAACAAAAGAATAACTACCAGAAAATCATCATATATATCGGAATAGAGTAACTTCAAATTTTATATGCGCTAATTTAAAATTGATTCACCTATTTGATATATCTTTCAGAGACTAACACCATTATGCTTTTTTATAAGTTCAAAAGAACAAACGTAACTAAATGTAACTCACTGGAAGCCAAATCAGTAGGATCTTGTATAAGATCATATCAAAGCCAACAAACAATTACGTTTATTATTTGATCCAAATTTTAAAAGAATCATACATAATTTCCATGAAACGTTGCAAAGAGAAACCATATAAGAAATATATGATTGGTTCTACGTGAGAACGTAACTAATAAGAAACAAAATGAAATAACCATACTTAATAATAAACAAAATGATATCAATGCTTGAAAAAATCACAATTTATATCATCATCACCACTGTAATCTTCGCGCTTTTCTTGAACTTCCTTTTTCATTTCCCTTTCTCACCTCTGGATCAGACAATCTGCAACCTATATAAGACTAAGAATATAGAAGAGTTAGTGTCCAATTAAAAAAAAAATCACCAAAATCAAGCATATATATGTATTGTTGCAAAGAAAAGAAACACGGTAAGTAGCAAAGGATCAAAGCATACACAAGAAAGATGTCTTTAAAGAACTATCTCTTGACCACACACAAGTTTAACGAAGTTGTGCAACAAACGAATAATCTTGCAATGAGCATTAGCAACAACGAGTTGCCTTTACCAAGTGCTCCACTTCTCACTTACTTTCATCATTGTGCAGAATCCACATAGCATAAAAAATACTCACAAATCACCCAATATACCAAATAACAGAGAGGTAGCTTGAGCCACAAGATACAAAGAAAATCTCAAAACCAACCTCCAACATAAACTTTCATTGTCAATATAAAAGTCTCATTGATACCTGCACAGATTTAGTGAGCTTTACATGAATTTATTTCCTTAAAATGTACCGTTTCAAAGAACTCTACGTGCCAACATCGGTCAAAAATGTGGGATTCGATCGATTGTCGAGAATACCACCTAACCAAACAAAAACGTTACTCGAGAGCCATAAAACAGCTATAGTTTTGGCAAAACTGTTAATCACGTTTAGAATACTAGTAACTTTAGAAAAGCCGTCAAAACTCTCTTTCCATTTTGTATTTATAGCATGTATGAAACATATGTTTTTAATTAATTAGGAACAATATATTATTATAAAACCTTTTTAATATGTCATTAATATGAAACCTTTTTTTATTTCACCACATGTTAGTAATTATATGTAAAATATATTATTTCTAAATTATGTATTTTCTAACCATATGTACGTATATTATACTATATATAAATACTATTAAAAATAAATGCCGCATGTTAGCAGTTTCGTTTGAAGTTTGAGCAAAAAATAAGTTTAAAAACAAACATTTTGGACTCACCAATATACAGGGGCGGACTTGGCGGACGCAGGAAATAATTTTATATGGTGCACACTTTATTTAAATATTATATATAAATAATTAATATAAATTATAATCATAAAAAAATAGTAAACACATTATTAAAGTTTAAAATTTTAATTTTTAAAATTTTAAATTTGAACTAAATTAAAAACTATATTTTTATTTTTGGTAAAAACTAATATAATTGTATATTTTACATAACAATTGTTTTTAAGTAAACAATATTTTTGTTTTAAAGATTATTTTATATATATAATATATTAAAAAGTATTAAAAAAAATTGTAAATCTAACTAAAATAATCATTATGAAAGCACTATATATCACGTGAGGAACAAGAATAATTGTGTTCTAGTAGAGAAAAAAAATTAAAAAAAAAACAGAAAAAAATAATAAGTAATAAGTAGAACTCTGGTTGAGAAATATTAAAGTGTACCAGAAAAACCAACTCATCTACATGCATTTTATATACGTATTGTAACAACAATTTTAAATCTTTAGTATGAGGCACGTGCCCCACTATTTACAACGTGGGACCGCCCCTGCCAATATACAAACATATACTCTTTCATTGTAAAACGTTCACAGTAATATATAGATTCTTTTTTTGTTTTTGAACCAGTATAGATTCTTTTTGGTGTAAAGATATATGCAAGTGTGAGAAGCGAGGATGTCTAATCAAAGTTTGGCAGTTAAACTACGGCGCTATGATGTGGCAGTTAAACTACGGCGCGTGATAGCTCTCTGGTACGTTAAATTCAGTTAACAAGTACGTAACTGTATTTGTTAACTGTTTGAAAAATACATGAATCCAATTGTACTATGTGAGTACGTAATTTTCTTTTTCCGTTTGACTGTTTGGAAAATACATGAATCCAAATGTATTTATATAGTCCATCAATACAGAGACCATATAAGTATACAGAAGATTTCTAACAAAATATTAAATTCAAGGTAGAAATTGGGTGATTCAAATGGGTATGTTTTCAAGGAACAAAGAAACCACATAATGTTTTATAAACTCAGGATGTGTATTTTTTTGTTCAACTGATTATATTAATCATAAGTTTAAAATGGAACTACAATCCTCTACCTATTAATTGAGAATGTAGTTTAATGAAAAATGCTGATTTGTTTTAATTTGATTGGTTAATATGTTTAGTTTGAGCAATTTTAATATGACATGCAAATGATGATGTGTAATGATGATTTAATTATGACATGTCAGTTTAAAGTACACATGACTTGTGACATGATATTATTTAATCTATAAATAAAATTTGATGTTAAAATTTTGATACAAAATTAAAATATTTGGAAAAATTATATTTTTGTTAAATAGATTTGAAATTATATTTCGACACAAAAATTTTGCTAAAAAAATTTACGCATTTCAAATATTTAGCAGAAAATTTGTGACAACCTATTTAACGAGAAACTTTTTGATATTTCACGAAATCAAATTAAAATACTCTAAAATAAATATTTTTGGTGGGAAAGTTACAAATTCATGTTTTTGGCGAAAAAATTTTGAAATCATATTTTCAAGAAAGATTTTTAAAATTATATTTTTAAATAAGGTTTTTTGACGGAAGATTTATGGTTTCACTTATATAGCAGGAAATTCATGAAATCAAAATTTTGACTTGTAATTTTTAGAATCACATTTTTAATGTAAAGTTTTTGGCGAATTTTTTTTATGAATTCAATTTTTGGCGAAAAATTCACAAAATCAAAATTTTGATAAAGTGTTTTTAGATCATATTTTTGACGTAATTTTTTGGGTGTGAAAGTTACCTATTCATGTTTTTGGCATGAAATTTGTGAAATCTGATTTTGATAGAAATTTTTGAAATCTTATTTTAAGTAAGTTTTTAGCAAAATATTTATAAGTTCAATTGTTTGTTGTGTGAAATTTTGCGGCATCAAAATTTTAGAAGGAGAATTTCTTCACTTTTATTATCATCTTATTTTGTCTCACTATAAATAAAGATCAAAATTTTATATTATATGTAAATATATTTCAATTATATAGTGAAAATTACGAACCAGAAATAGGACATAAACTGACAGAAAAAAAATATATAAAAGATGAAAAATATAAATAAAAAGTAGAAAACAACGAATAACGAAAAATTATTTTATTTTATTTTTTAATTTTTAAAAAAAATATTTTAAATTTTTGTATATGTTTTATTTTTTACTATGACTCAATTTCTCAAATCTATTAAAATATTTTTTTACAAACAAATTTTTTTAACAAATATATTATCAAAACAGGTCAATCACTTATTTATTATTAATGATATATATTATTAATAATTAATTTTTTATAAATTTTTCATGCCTGCACATTATGTGCGGGCCAGCTACCTAGTAGTAGATAAAAGTAAACGATTCGATGCCAAAAAGTAATTATTTGTTGCAAAAAAATAAACCAAAACAGTAAAAGGATAAAATATGCAGTTTAAGTCGAAGATAAAAACTAGAAGCTTCTTCAAAAGAGTTTCTGAGATCGATCTGAAGTTTTTCTGCCATTAGAAGCAAGCGAACAACAATATTAGCTCGGAATACTGTTGCAACTGAACGTTTGAGAAGGTTCTCCATAGAGGAGTGGAGCAGTACGCCGGTAAGTTGGCAATACTCAAGAACTGCAGCTTCAAATGAAGCATCGTTGGAGGAAGATTGTTGTCATTTTTGACTATCTCTAACTCTCAAGAAAAGGTCGAAACTGAACGGAGGATGTGTATAAATGTCAGTGTATAAACTCAGGATGTGTATAAATGTCAATGTTCTTGTAGAATTCATCTATGGCCCTTGAGAAATTTAAGAATCGCATGACGATATGGAAAGGAATCTTGTGGGGCTTTGTCATGAGTTCGTAGTATATATCAGTTAAATTTATTGTTTTATAACCTTTGAAAGAGCAAAGAATAAAACTTGATTGTATCAAAGATAACGACGACACAACCCATCAAAGAATCGGCCACCAAAGTACGATTCTATAACTTCAAGATTATGCCTCGTTGTACGTTTCCCCTCCTACCCACACATCCATTCAATTACAATTGTACACATTGGTAAGTGGTTTTTAATCTTTTTTTTATCTTTTCCATCAATAGAACCTCTTTAGGGTTTTCTCAAAAAAAAAAAAATTAATATTATAATGTAATTAGATCTTATAATTAAATTTAAATTTATAAGAAAATTTTGAATCCATATAATGTAATTAGATTTTAGACATGTGTGTGATTTGAGGTTCTCAATACATTTTCAAAAGTTCTCAAATAAGAATCTCTTTTCAATCTTTCTCTTTCTTTTTATTATCTTTATTTTTTAATATTTGAAATCTCTTATGAGAAACACCAATATGTCGATGCTCTAATATAATACTTAGCTCAATCTACTGATGCACAGCAGCTTTGACAATTCTTAGAGATTCTTCCCAGTCGTCAAGTAGCTGATGAGGATCACTTATGACCGTTGGATCTACGGTCAAAGCAATCGTCATCTTGTTCATGTAACTCTGCAAATGCATCATCAACGCCTAATAGAAAACCAATGAGAACAGCGAATATTAGTCACTAAATAGTATATGTAAAAAAGGACAATAAATGTATAAGGCAGAATGGCCTCAAATAAAATCTTACATGGTGATGACCATAAACGCTTGAGGCCATGTAAGTGATGGGATGTCCAAAGAAGCTAATTTCTTCAATAGGACCAACCAAGTTTGAAAATGACATCGTTGTGTTAGAAAATACTCTATTTATTATGTTAGCTGTCACCTGCATCCATAAGATTAGAATAATGAATAAAAAAATAAATAGTGAGTTAGGCTTTGCATTTTGGTGATATAATTAATGTGCTAGTTACTATTCAAACTAACCTTAACTCCAAACAATCTCATCACGAATTTACTGACAATGAATGTTAGCGCAGCTTCCATCGAGTTTTTCTTCCGGTCAATGGTCTTTTTGGCTCTTCGAAGATGCTCCAATGGATCATCGCGTAAACTGATAGAAAACGGAAAGACTATGTAGCCAATCCAATTTCCCCATCTACACTTAGATCCTTTAGCCATCATATCAGCTAGATCCTGTTCTAACCAAAAACATTTATTATATAACAAAATAAGTTTATTATATTATGGTCGTAAAAACAAAAAAAAAGTGATAAAGGTATATGAATTTGCCTGGATTCCAGTTGTCGGTCGTAAATTTACAAGTATAGCTGATCTTAGCCTTAGTTTTTTAGGTAAATCATTTGAATTCCTCTTAGATTCTTGATCTTCTCCTACTACCTTCTTCTTCTTCTCTCCTATAGTTTATCATACGACTATGTAAATTTAATCGTTCATTATATGCAATATTCTAACGTGTATATATGTATTTTTACCATATATTCTCTCCAAGTACTGCGACAGAGAAGCCTGAGTTACACCAAGTACTACATCGTTGACCGTCTAGTAAGCCAAAAACCAAAGAAATAAAATATCAATAACTTAAACTAACCGTCGATAATAATCACAAAGATATTGTTTGGAATCCATAGACCTATAAAATACTCTAGAGGGGAATCTTACCATCTTCATGGTATTCTTGATTAGCTTTATGTCGTCCAAGCTTACGGTACGATAAACCAAACACATCCGTTTACGCTTACTTAACCGGAAATCACCTTTGATGGGTGTTTCAGTGTCCTTGAGGAACAATGCCGTAGCAGTAAACTCCAAAGCATCACGAACCGTATTCAAAACCATCATAATCGCCGACCATAGAACCCTAAATAACCACACCAACCGAAAATCACCCCTTGAACCGGCCTTTAACCGGGAAGATCTAGACGACGCCCGGTTTTGGTACGGTAGAGTCGGTAGCTCTTCGGGGTTCGATGTTTTACGCATACAAGCGAGGACAAGGGCCATTAGAGACATACCATCTCCCAAAGAGTGATGAAACTTTAAAATGGCAACGTTTTCAGCATCTGTGGTTTTCAAATCGAGTAGGTGAAGCTCCCATAGTGGCTTTGAGATGTCTAAAGGGATCAACGTGAGGTCGGAGACGTAGCTCTCAAGAAACGCCTCTGCGTTTGCGTTCTCTATGTTTTGCGTTTGAATGTCCGGTACGATGACGTGATCGTCAATAACCACGTTTGTCCGAACCCAACTCTGAGTTTGTTTATTCTTGTTCCTTATGTTCACCTTGATCAAGAAGTATGTAGTTATTTAAATAACTGTCAAAATTATCGTTCAAATCTCAAAACTAATAAACAACTAGTAGTTTTTAGATGAAAAGTAGTAGTTTCAATGTTTTTTATAATAATATTTGGATAGAATACTCACTTACTTGACGTTTTTTATGGTTTGGTTAGAATCCTTTCATATTATGAAAATGGATTTTCTACTTGATTTATTTTATGACCAAAATGGAGCAATATTCTCCCATTTTGGAATGCAATCTTATAAATTTATATACTTCTTTGACCAAATATATTTAATTGGTCTTTGAATTTCTTTTTCATTTTATCTCAATTCTGAGTTTTAATTTGTCTTGAAATTTTTTTTTGTTTCACAGATTACCATTTTCAAATCAAAATTGATTATAAAGCATCATATAATTCAATACTAGGAGAAAAGTCAATGAAATGTATCTACACCAAAATGTTGAAAAAAAATTATATCCATCAAAAAGAGTTCAAATATCTCTTTTGTTTTTCAATAGAAAACATTAATTTATATATACACAAACATATATATACCCCTATATGTAGCCATTAATAAAAGTTGATATTCACCATAAAACTAAAGTAACAATTATTCCAAAACGTATGATATGTAATAGTGTGGGACTAACCAATTTACTGGAGAAACGAGGATGCCTGATCAAACTTTGCTTTAATCCTTCGATAACCACATCTGGCTCGATCTTTTTCTTAATACCAATCACCGTTATGACGTAACAATTCAACTCCGGTGCGTGGAACACACGTGCCGCTGGGCTAAGCGGTTGCTCCTCTTCTTCTTCTTCCTCTTTCCTCGCCTCTGATATGTCTCGTTCCATCTTAATCTCTCTCTCTGAACTTTAAATATTTTATCTCACTTTTTCTCTTAATAGTTAGATATATCTCCAACTGTACTATGCCACTTTGCTCTTTATATAAGTTTTGGAGATTTTAATCAGTTTCTAACCAAAAATATTAGTAACATGACCTACTACAAGGAGGGAGGGGAGGGGGTTTATTTGCATACCCAATTATAAGAATATATAGTTAATTTGATTTTTAATCAATTTAATATTATTTTCATAAATTTAATAAAAATAAAGTTGTTGCGGGTTTAGATACTCTGAAAATGGACCAATGGAAAATTAATGTTTTTGGAGATAATATACTTTATAAGCTTTTTATTAACGGTATGGGATTTCATGGGCTACTTGCCTTGCTGTTTAGGTAAAATATTCAATGCTCAATAGAGGTTAAAAGAACCATCTTATTTTTGTGCAAGAAAATACCTTGATGGACTAGATAAAAAAAAAGAGCTTAGACCACCTCTATCGGTGGTTTCTTAACACAATTTCTTCAAAAAAAATATTAATAAAATAATAAAAATTAAGAAAGAAGGAGAAAAAACGTTTCTTTATTTCCTTTCTAAGGCACGGTTTCAGGTATTTTAACAAACTCTTTTAACATATGCCTTCTTATGATTAGTTTAGATCTTTTGATAGTTTAAATATTAATATTTTTTTTTTTTTAAGAGACTTTCAGAGTATGTAACCGATGGAGCTGGTCTTAGATAAATAACAGAGCTAATATATGGTCGGACTATCAAGAAATACACATTCATTTATTTCAGACTAACAAATAAAATTAAAATAAATTTATGTTGGTTATATCCAATATGAGGAACGACAGATAACAGAAATACATAGACTAGAAGATCGGAGAAACACCATCCGCCTTAAAAGTTAAATAATCTCATTTGAAAGAATGTTATGAAGGATTCATGTATACATTCATTCAATTATTTATTAAGTAATTGTTTACTGGTCGATTTGTGGTACCGGGGACGATCATACATGTTCTACTAACTAAAATTAGGAATTGTAATTTTAAAATTCGAAAAGTTGTACAACTTGTCACAGCACTTTTTTAATAATAATAATAATAATAATAATAATAATAATAATAATAATAATAATAATAATAATAATAATAATAATAATAATAATAATAATAATAATAATAATAACCTTAGTTAAGATTTGAAATTTGAAAAATACACTGATTTCTTAATTTTTTAATAACTACAGTTATTGATATATAAAGAGACTATTTTCACCAGATTTTAATTAGCAGATATATATTTAAGTAAATAAAAAATAAAAATTGGAAATAATAAATATTATGATGATGTCTAATTATATAATATTAGAATCTTTTATAATTAGGTAAATTATAATAAGAAGAAGTCGACACATACAAAAATAAAATAATAATAAAGAAAATGATTTTTCAGAAAGAAAAATGAAATGAAAGAAATGGCTCATAAAAAAATGAAATTGCTATTTTTTTAACTTAATGAAATTGCTAGTTTGTGTGAAATAAAAACAATGATCACTATTATATGTCGAAAAAAATAATGATGATATTAACCGTAATTTTTTATTTGCTGCAAATATGTTGTATGTTATCATATTTATGCATTTATATATCATTGTGTTTGATTTTTTACTGCAGTTAAGCGAATATTTGCCGTTAATCAAACGCCAATGACCTAGAGAATGTGACATCAAATCTTAAGAAACATCATTCAATCATTTACCTAGAATCATTGATGTAATGATTGTGAATTTAAAAAAAGAATAGTAAATAGGAGAAGAAAAAATGGTTAAAACTTGAAAGAAGATGTAGAAGACAATTTTCTATTGATTTTTTTTTCCTGCTACAATATATTTTAATAGAAACCATTGAAACCACTAATAACGTCGGCATATAAACGCGTTCATGGTTCATACAAACCATACCGCCTTTATATTTCACATATCTTTGGAGTTTGGTTAACATTTATTCATAGTTTTACTCTTCTATATCGTTAATTATATAGCTGTATACAATACTAATTTCTAAAATCTGTTGATTTTGGCCAAATTCACTTGTAAACTCTCGTACCCGCGTTGAAATAGTAGTTCAACCTACTTCGGAAGAAACCGTTGTGTAAACATTTCAATGGAAAATTGCCAAATCTAAGGTTTCTACTTTCTACTATTTATTTTTCTCAAAAATAGATTTCTACTATAAAAAGTTATGGAAGTTCATAATCCAAATCTCGTGTGATTTTTCTGTACCGTGTTTTTTTTTTAAATCTTTTTTATGGGAAACTTTTGGTAGGAAAATGTTGCACCACATAAATATAGATGTAGATACAAATATCCACACTCAAAGATTTGTAAAGTGTTTAGGTTAATTTAGGAAGATGATGGGTAAGAATCTCTATTTGAGCAACTGAACTTAAGATTAAAAAAAGATAAATGGACTTTTTATTGATGGAATCGAGAAATCGTTTACAAGAGATCGATGTATTAGAATACAAAAGCTTGTAGAGCTTATAACTGCTTAGTAAGAAATAATGATTAGGTAAAAAGATGTAAGAATACGGGAGCTCGTAGAGCATACGTATAGTAAATTAGGTAAAAACCGAGAGACCGTTCTTTCTGCCCCTCCTGCTCCTTTTATAGCCTTCTTTTAACTCCAACTACTGCGCGAATCTTGGAGATTAGTTGTAACGAGCTCCGGATATCTCGGATGTTGTTGCTGAATCGAGCTCCGGATATGACGGGACCTCGCGTGGTCGTGCTCGACTTAGTCTTGAAGAGTATCCTTAATTGGCGGGAGCTCATCAGTTGTTGAAGATACAAATGGGCCATATATCTGATGGGTCATTGCAGATGGGCTTCATATGACTGCTTAGTGGGCTTTATAATGGGCCAGATTTGGTGTTAAATCCTGCTCCAACAGTTGCCCCCCAGCCCGTTAAGCGAGGTACGAGCTTAATGGGCGGAAGACAAAGTTTTAAATATCATAACTTTCTTTAACTCAAAGCTTCTAGATCTTAAAAAGATTTACTTTTGATCATAACGAACCATTGATGTCACGAATGCGAAACTTTGATTAAGTATGAGTGAAGATTCTGCTTGAATGTGAGCTAGAGCTCAATCTAAAGCGCTTTGAATTTCACGTGAGTACGAACCCAAACTTGGGTTGACCAGAGATGAAAAAATCTTTAAGTGCGAGCAAGAGCTCGAACTTAATTGTATAAATTTTGCATAAGTAAAAACGAGAATTCGATTCAGGTGTTGACGAGAGTCCGTTTGGTTACGAGCATGAGCTCGAACCGAGTTACTTTGAATGAAGGCCATAGGCCTAGATTTCAACTTCGTATGGCAAACGATATATATGACTTGAATCGATGAACTGGATTCTTTCTATATATCGAATAATACATAGAGATTTTAAGGAACAATAAAGATCGTGACTGAACTCATGTCGAGCTGCCTACGTACCCATTACGGGATCAAGTCTAATCGTAGTTCGATTATAAGTATTTCGAAGGAGATACATTTGTGGGAAAATAACAAGCTCATCGAGCTGTTTATTTGCTAAACTTTGTGTGATCTGTCAGATCGAATATGTGTTTAACAAATAACTCTGGTTTTTTTTAAAATATATGACCGTATTAAATCAATTGTATTGTGTTATCTTTGCTAGCTATAGAGAGCTAGAATCGGATTAGAGAAGAACTTCGCTTGCTGATTATTAAACCAAGTGAAGCTGATTGAGTAAAATACAGAGATTTTATCTGCCTTTTTTTCCTGTTTGGGCGGTTTGCTATTTTGAGTTTGAACAAGAGTTCGTTCACTTGGAACTAAACATGAGCTAACCTTTTATGTTTGACTGGGAGTTTGTTCACGTGGCAAACACGAGTTCGCCATTTTGGATTTGAACGAGAGTTCGTTTACATGGAATCAAACATGAGTTCGCCCTTTATGTTTGAACGGGAGTTCGTTCACTTGGAACCGAACATGAGTTCATCTTTTTCTGTTTTGTTTGGTTGCGAGCATTTTTAGTTTGCGGTGTGCTTTGGTACTTGTTGACTGGAAATGTTCTTTCTTTGCTTTAATCGAACTTGGATTTTAGCGACTTGATGCGTCATGCATCTTTTGCTTATCCTTCTTCTTATTGCTTTATTTGTTTCGTGATACAAAATATTGATTTTGGTCGAGCTTTTGGTTTAACTTTGAATTGGAGATTAATCCTCTTATCTTTTCGATAACCCATGAAGGAGACTGTAAGATTTTGGTGCGTTGGCTTGTCACTTACGGGAAGATGCTCGCGCACATTTGCAACTAACGCCCTGACCAATTTTGACGGGCTTCTGCTTGAGATATCTGAATTGATCTTGTCGATTCATCGTTAATGAACTGGTTCTCGCAATTTTAAAGTAAATGCTTTGGACGATTTTACGGGCTTCTGTTCAAGACGCCTGAGATCATGATATCTTCTTGTTGATTGCAGGTCCTAGGGATCCGGTCGAGCTCGAGTTGGGTTCTGATTTTGTGCTTTCTTTTGATTGCGGACAGGATTCCAGCTTTGTTTGTTGTGCTTAAATGCGAGCGAGAGCTCGATACGTTTCCTAACTCAAGTTTGTTTGGGCGTTTGTGTTTGATTTAAGCGAGGTATTTGTACGAACGCCTGTTCGGTTGAGGCGCGTATGTGATGAGCTCGTGAGTGTTTTGTCTGGCCAGACGTTATTTAGTGGATCGATTGTAGATCCCGAGTACTCGTTTGCGTCTTAGTTTGTCACAGATCATTTTAAGAGATCGTGAGAGAAACTCGATAAGAGTTTAAGCCATTAAGACTGTTGGGTGAAATTCGATATGAATATTTGATGTTTCAGCTTTACAGCTTCCCATTTTTTGAGAGGCAAGATGCCGTTTTGGAGATGTTCGAGTTCGAGATCTTCCAATTTGGCCAGGCGTGAAATGATTCATCGCTGATGAATCGTTTTCTGCTATTGGCTTCCTTGTTAGTTGCTGCTCTGGTTGCAATTTTCTCGGCTAAGCTCTAGTTATTTAGCCTGAGTTTGCTATTGCTCGGCTATGCTTGGGTCGTTCGGACTTGGTCTTGCTCCCCAGAATTCGTGAGATCGTTGGGTAGCTCGTTAGTGCTGGCTGCAGGATTGCCTTTGACAGATATGATTCTTTCTAACAGTGGGTCCGATGTGGAGGCTAGAGATGCTAAGGCGCTAGCCGAAGTGTTCTTGCCACAAGAAATGCTTGTTAGTTCAAATCCATCTACTCGTGTATAGTTTCGTATGTACCCATGAAACTAACTGGTTTCGAGCTGCGAGTTGCTGTTCACAAACGGGCTGCTAGTTCTTTCGAGAGTTGTAGCCTGTCGATGAAAGCTTTGTACTTGGCTTAGATATTGGATGCATCAAAGCCAGGATGATTTGACTGTTCGAGGATCTTTCCGATTGGTGACGTGAGTCTGATTCCTACTTCAGGTCCTAGCATCGATGATGCTCTGTCCATGTGAAATGCCTATTTTTTTATTTGGAGACGTGTTGTCGAGAGCTTGCAGTGCAAGCTCGATAACATAGTATACTAAGGCTTATGCATTTGCACAGATCCAAATATGATATTCGACATCATACTTGCTTAGTCTGATTGCCCTTTAGATTTCTTGAGTTGATTTGCAAAAGGGTTCACATTTTTCTATAGAATTGAATCGAGCTCGAGAGCTCGAATTCTATGGTAACACATCTTTTGGGGGTAAGCATTGTTGATGCGTGCCTGAGTAAAGAGATATTTTTTCTGGCGTCCACGCATGGTGGGGTTCTTGCTTGTCTTGGTTTGTGGTTTGGCGAACTCATGATCTTTATGTAATTTTTATATGGTGGAGCTCGCAACATTTCTAGAATAGCCTTGGTAGCACATCTTTGCATTTGTTCTGGTTTC